TGCTATTTAATATGCTGATACTAAAACTGTAGCTGCTTTCTTTTTTGAAAATATTATTTGTTGTTACAGGAGTCTACTTAATTATATCTACTGGTAATTAATTAAGTAAATAAATCAAGTTATATAATTATAATTAAATAAATCAGTAATATTGATAGTTAATCAGTATAATCGATATTAAGGATCAATACTTATAAGGTAATAAAGTAATAGAGTAATAACAAAAAGTGTATAATATGATTGTGAAGAGCCTTCATACTTAAAATAAAAGAAAATAAAATAGATACAACAATATGACAATAAATTTATAATATCAATTAAGAAATCAATTCTTAATACTTTTATATTAAAGTATTGATATCTAAAGCTTTATTCGAAGAGCGAAAAGACAGCTCTTTTATACTTTTGAGTTATATGAAAGGCTTACTACAAAAAAAATACTTTTTTTATTTTTAAGTCTGGGTCTATATTTTGTTGTGCTAACGAATAAAATGATTATTTGTATAGATCTAAACTTCTAAGCCTTCACCACAATCTAGCCTTATAATATTCTTATGATCTAAAGTATACATATTCTTATTACTACAAGTTACAATTTGTTTCTAAGAAAAAAAATTGTGATATACCCTTCTTGTTAGGTATAAGCATCTACAACACCTAATCAAGTGCTAACAATTGTTCAATTTCCTTTTGACTTCCTAATCATGCTTTTTTTAGTAATATGTTAAAACTTTTGGTATTTATTTTTAACAAGATATTAGCAGATAGATAGCAAGTAGTTAATATATTATAGGCATATCGTATATAATAAAGGCTATAAATACTATGAGTAATCCTTAATGCATTTTTATAACTTCAATATATAAATCAGTTTTTTATTTCTCCTTTAACTTCTTTATCCTAATTATATATTGCTAACCTTTCTTCTAACTGATAATAATGCTGGAGCAGGGTAGCACAATTTAGCTAACAAAGTTAAACCTGAATGCAAAGATAATCTATTTGCTGACTCTAGCTTATACCTTCAACTTTACATAGTTCTTTCAAAGGGTTGCCAACTCGGTGAAGATTTTTGATAAAAAGAGACATTTGATTCTCTAATAAATCCTCATTAATATTTGATGGTAAGTTGATTGGGACTTGGCTTTCTTGACCATCAAGAAACTTAATAGTACTATTAATAATGCAAAGAGATTCTACAGAGGATTCTTTAATATATTTCTGTAGATAAAAGAGTCTTAAAATTGGTATGATCACTTGAAAAGATTCTATACTTAAGGGAGTAAAGATTAATTTAAGCTATATTTATAAGTTTTAAGAACTTCTTTCTACAGATGACTCTATATATCATTTTAATCAGTTTCTATACATAGCCTTCTTTAGAACTTTTTTTGTTTTACTAAGCTAGCTCTTTATTATTTTATTTATCACTCATAGCTTATATATACTATTGGCACAAATATTGTAAATATAATATAGACCTGTAAATTTTGGTTTTAATTTCACACTATAAGATATCAACAAGAAAGATTGTTCTAATAACACCTTATTACTAATCAAATAGCTCTCTATATGATAGCTTTGATCATGACATGCTTTTTGTTTGTCTTGAGTTTTTAAAATATTGGTTTTAGCCTAAATATGTAATTAGTTAACTTTCTTAACAAACTTTCTATCTATTGTAACAACTGATCCTGTAGTTCTTTTTCAGTGATTAGTTCATTTGAATAAGTCAAAATTACAGTCTTTACAGATATCACGACTATATACAATGAAAAAGGGCTTATAGTGTATAGCAGTATCTGAAATTGGGTTGCAGAGCTTGCAGACTGCAAATGATTTATAAGTTTCCGCAACTAAAACCTGAAATGTATATACATGTTCTACAAATAAATTGTGAATTTGCATATAGAGATGCTCAAATTCACATATAAATTCATATATATGTGCAATTAAATCTATATAATCTGCAAGTAAAGCTTTTTATTTAGTTGTGGCCCGCAACTAAATTAGAAATTGAATTTCAGACACTGGCATGTAGTAGAATGTTTATTTGTCTGATAGATAAAAGTGCTACTGATATATAATTATCCCAATTGTCTTTATACTGCTCAATACATTTAGCTAAAACTTCATATAATATTTAATTAAAATACTTAACTAACTTATTTGTTTGAGAATGATAACTTGTTGATTTTGAATAACAAACATCTATTTTGCTATACAATGCATCTATGATCATATTACAAAAATAAGTTCTTTTATCTGAAAGTAATTCATGTAGACTCCTGTAACAACAAATAATATTTTCAAAAAAGAAAGCAGCTACAGTTTTAGTATCAGCATATTAAATAGCA